CTGTGAAAACTCTGCATTTCTTTATTTGGCAGCATATAGACCGCTTTTCATCCTTCATAAATTTGTACACTACCATACTGCGGCCGCAAAAAAAAGAGGAACGTTTCAGTCGTACGAGATGCACGTGCTAGTACTTTTCATGACTGTTTTGGGATACGCTATGGCAGCGGTACATATAATGAAAGTGAAAAGGTTCACACCACCAATGGTAAAAATGATACGGAATGGAACTTGGGATCGATTTGTGGAAAGAATGATGGAGAAACCACTGCAGCAAATGACCGGTAGCGATGGCGACATTTATATACACGATGTAAGGGAGTGCAAATATTTGCTTCTCTGTTACAAATTAGTCGAAGCTGTTTTTACTTAATTCGTCATTTTTCAGATCACCAGATATTATGATACTGAGTACCTTGGTGAAATCACTATCGGCACTCCTCAACAGACGTTTCTAGTCCGTCAAACAGACCCATTTCTAGATAAATAGTACACGATCAATTTCTCAGGTAGCTTTGGACACGGGATCTTCCCATTTTTGGGTTCCTGATAGTTCCTGTTCTAAAGTACCCGAGAGGCCTGCGCAATGCAGGATCTCGTCATGTGATTTAGGAGGTGAGTTCACTTCATACTTCTTTTCTTTAAATTAGGTATCTTGAGGTTGAAAATTTATTTCGACAAAATTCCTCATCGATGTTCGCATGTAGGTTAACCTTTAGTGGTACAAACGTTTTCGTATTTTCATATGACGTCATATCTTCTCCATGTTTAGATTATATATTTATTTTCTTGCCTTTATTTGAGCGTTGGAAATTAGTGGAGCGAGACTGGGAGAATTTGCTTACGAGCGAATGAGCCAAACATTGCTCCCATCAAAAGTTAGCTATGTTCAGCGCAGAATTTATGTCACTCCTACAAAAAATGAACACAGAATAAAATGGAAGAAATTTTGTGGTTAGCACAAAAATTGCAACATTCGGACAAAACGGAAAAACATGCACCTAAACCTCTGCTTTGAAGTGTGCAAATGTGTCCCCCTTGTACATCTCTAGAGCTGCCATTGCTAAGGGAGTTTATCACAACCTCTATCAGTTTTAAAAGCATGCTTAAATGCACATTGGTTAAGCATCTAGGTAGTAGAATTATGTGTGCCATTGGAATATGGATTCAACGCATTGGCGATCGCATTATTTACGTATTTGGCGCACTAACATTTTCGTCCATTTTTCGTCACTGCTTGCACTACTTTGTTTGCAGGCAGATTACCTATCAAATAATCTTAAAAAATTCAGGAGCGACACAGGCGACCAGAAATATGACCCAAACTTGGGCCACCCTGGTCGATGGGTTTAGCAGGATTATAGCTGGGGTGCATTACTTTGGAAAAGTTATCAGCAAAGTAGACTTTTTGTGCAAGTTTTTTCCCGTAAAGAAGAAAAGCTTCAACTTTCTTGGAAGTACACTTCTGACGAGTTCTACCACTGTGCAAATGAAGCTCCTAATGCAGAAGGCCATGGTAATCCTCGTTATCTCTGGAAATCTACTCAGAGTATTCATTGCAGTTAGGACTTAGATAATCCATCAAAAAATGGACTGTGAAAAGGGTTCATGCAGGGGACACAGTTGAAAAACTGAACTACTTTTCTAACAAGCTTATAAAGTAACTGCACATAATCATTCACTGATATAAAAACAGAGAAAAGGATGAAACGAAAGGTAGGGCAGTTTTCCTCATAAAGAGTGTTTGGGAAGATATTACCGCAGATATATATCTCGAAGTTTGGAGTTTCTTCAATATGTCTGCTTCGTTTAAGAGCAATCTTTCTGCACACATTCATTTCTATATTTAAAGCTGTTTAATGTTGTATGTATGGTGTATTACGTGGGTAATTATGTTTCAAATACACATTTTTTGATTTGAAACGACAAGGCGATTTGGGGATCGGGTGGGTGAAGTAGATTACTTTACATGGCAGTTAGTCATTTGATGGTGTTGCTTTACGACTTATTTTGCCAACGTGTAGTTCATTGCCTAAAGTGAAATAAGGCCGTTACTACTTTTGACTATTCAAGTAAGATTATGTAATACAAAGTCTGTGAGTAGAAGTCGTGGAAGGGGAGCAGTTGCCCAGATGGAGAATTAGGTATTGAAGTAATGTGAAAGCGATCAGACAATGTGCATTAATATGTTCTTTCACAATTAAAAAAAAACTCTTAGACCATTCAGAGGTTTTTTAGCTGCCGTCTGAGTATCATTCGCAGCCAATCAGAAAAAGCAGGTTTATGTCTCAGAAGCTGGGACTACCCGACCTCGATACACAC